ATTAAATTGTTTGAAAGCTTCTAAAGCATGAGATTTACATTTTAACAGAATGACCCAATTGCGACGGGTTGCATCATCAATCAAAACCATAGAATAAAGGAACCCGCCAATAGTCGCAACAGGAAAGGGACCTGCAAGATCACAATGAATTCTATGAAGAGGGATTTCACTCCTAGGAAGCCTGCCAGAATGGCTGCTCCTCGTCTGTTTCCCCAAGGTGCAGGCCTCGCAAGTAGACGGTGGAGACGGATCAAGTCGTAGGACATCCTCCATGACATCTCGGGTATTTCTGGCGTTGAGATGACCAAACCGCAGGTGCCATAAGTCAGTATTGTTAGGCTTGAAAGCAGTCGCAGATGACGCACTAGGTTCAGAAAAATGATAGAACCGCCAGAACCCTCCAGGACCCGAATCCTTATACGCTGGAACAGTGTTTTCATTGTCAGAAAAATACATGTTCTTGTCATCCGTGTTGGTACCGTAGTGTGGATCGAAAATCTTGTAACCCAACTCGTATAACTCAGTGATAGAGATAAGACTCGCTGGTAGTGATGGAGAGTAGAGTACATTTGGAATCGATACAACAGTCGGAGAACCTTGACGATCAAAGGCGTGAAGCTTGGCAGTACCCATCTGGTTTGCAACAATTCTAGATGACTTGTTCGCGTTTGCTACCTTGATCCAGACTGGCTCGACAGACCTTAAGTCATCCAACAGCATAGCATCTCCGAACATGTGTCGGTTGCATGCCGTATCAGCTAGCGTCGGTTTGTTTGTCGCAGTCGGAGAGGGATACGCAGATGATACAATCAGAGAGACCTCTTGAGGTTCTTCAGCAACTACATTGTATGATGTAGCAAATTGACATGCTGGAGGCGTCTCGTTCGAATTCACCGGTTCATGTCTGACTTCAGTTGGAACAGCTGGTTGCTGGCTTTGAACTTGAGCTTCGGTGTTAAATCCTATAACTCCTGCGGCCGCCAACTGATTGAATCGTCGAACCTTCTCCTCGTCAGACAGAGATCGAGATCCCGAGTTGTTAACCGCAGATGAAGGTCTCGAGCGGTTGACATCGCGATTCTGTTGTCTCGAACACACAGCATTGGTGTGATTGAATCTCCAATGATCTCTCAATACGCAAGGTGCGTTCGGAGATTTGTTGGTTCGAGGGTTGACTGAACGGGTGGGATTGGGTATGGTCTGCCTCGCATTGACAGCCATTGCAATTGGGGTTTCATCTACATTACTGAGCGCAGACTTTGTACGAATACGAGATATGACCTTTGCAATCGTAAGATTCTTGAGGTCACCAAAGAGTTGGTCGCGTATTGTGCTGTACTGATCACCAGGGAAGCTTAACAATAAGAATACGGCAAGAAGTTTGTCGCTTATTTTAAGATCCTGGTCAGAGGCGGTGGCTTCAGCTAATTGAGTATGTAGGTCATTGATATTGTCAAGAAAGGCAGGGACAGTTTCAGATCCCGAGTATCGTATTGTTGCGACCTTCGCTATAAGCGCAGCAACTTCGAGCCCATCATCTTGCGATGATTGTTTGATGAGTAGGTCGTAAGCCTTCTTGGGATCCTCGATTCCGCGAATTGCAGGAAGTCGAGTCGCAGTAACGGTGGCTCTGATGATTTCAAGCACACCAGCACGTTCAGATTCGATCTGCTCGTACTTGTCAGGATCCTTGAGATCCGACGAAGATGGCGATGTGTCTCGTTCGACATGCTTCCATAACTTCCTGGTTTTAAGATAAGTCTTTAAACCCAAATTCCAATCGACTTTGTTCGTGTCGTTTAGTTTAGGAATTTGTGCAAGAAGGAACGAAGAGTGAGATACTGAGGATGAGGTGTTATTGGACGCCATCAGTACTGTATTGACAGAATTGTTGGGAAGAGATGAGCCTGTATCGGACAGGATAGTTGGGTGGGTGGGTGGACCAGAAAGACTGATATCTGGGTTGTCCGTTACAGAATCCAGCGTGTGGATGTGGCTGGTGTGGGGTTATAGTTAACGTTCGGATTGATCGACAGTTTGTTTACTCCGGAATTCGAAAGAAGGTTTTCAAATTGTCGAGTCAATAGCCGAAACTGAACTTAGACAATTCTAAAGTTCAAGGTATGAGTATTTCGAGTTTGAATTGACAGGTTCTTTTGCGTAAGTCTGTATTCAAAACTCTAGTCTACCGTGTTTGTTGATCAAGATTGAGCTTCGAGCTCTGGGCTCATAACCTAAAGGAATCTCTGATTCCTAATCAGATCAGACAACACACAGATTAGTATAACAGTCTTAGAAGAGATGAAGTATCCGGAGAAGATGTGTTAAACAATATGTGGTGTTGATGAAAAGCTTTCTAAAGATTGATGAAGAAGAAAGTTTTCAACATGGATGAAATCTGATATAGTGAATGTTTCGATACAAACAATGGTTAGGTTAAAGTTTAGTCAGAAAGGTTGTGAGTAAGACATATGCACATATACAAATGTAATTAAAATACATATTTAATATTATTATTTGATGCAACAGTTAATATATATTTTCAACTTCTATTGGTCCAGCTTCCTGCGACTTTACTATCAATGATAGCATTCGCTTGTAACCGATGCTGTAATGGAATGCATATGCAAAATTCGATTGCATTCATTGCGTGCGGTGTCTCCGAGAGAGTGAATGACCATCTCCATTTCCTCGGCTTAACCACTTCTCGTCAAACAGGGTTGAAAGCAATGGACACGCTCGGGAGAGCTTTGCAAAATCTCATCAAACATCGTATGAAACAATCATATAATTTAAGACCCTTTATGACGCTTGAAAACATCGACATTCAAGCACGTATTCACAACACTGCCAACATAGATGCCTCGGGTTGCGGAATCCGAGGCATCATCGGAGGTAAAACCTCGGACAAGGTCTGTCCGAGGTTTTTGTCCGAGGTAATCTTCTGCGCTGGGAGTTGCCTCGGATCAAAACCTCGGACAGCTTCTGTCGGAGGTTGGTAATCCGATAATACCTCGGATTTTGCAATCCGAGGTAAATATGTTGGCGGTGAAATACACGAATTGAGGCATCTACGAAGCTTTTTCACGGTTCTTATGGCTACCTTCACTTCCTACCTCCTCATCTCATTGACGACATCAATCCAGAAGAAGCTAAAGTTGAATCTATTCTGAAGTGTATCGATAAAAGTCAAGAAGAGCCTTTTGAACCAGACACGATTTTGCCTACTCAAGAGGAGAAATTACATTGGAAGCTTGTACTAAAAGCACAGCTTTCCCGAGCTTTATTAGATTACGGACTTGAAAAAGACTCTGTAGAATACAACACTTGTAAATCAGCTCTTGCAACCGTTCCTCCTCCGGTCGATCCAATCAAATGGCACAATCCTGATCTTATGATGCTAAAAATGATGAGTGCATCAGATAGTTCTGCTGGAGGTGTAGCTGACATGCTTGAACAATGCCAAAAACAAACTGGTGAAGATGCGATTGAGTTGGCTAAATTTCTTTGAGTCCTTGAAGGCGATATGGGAACCTGCTTAAACTTCGAGTCACTCATCCGTCAACGCTTTCCAGCCAGTTCAACTCAAGATTCACTCAATAATATTCTCAATATGCCTGGATTAGCTCACACTATGTGGAACGTAGCAAGCAAAGTGATAAGCCATCATTGGGGTGATCCGAAGGACTCATCCGACACTGGTCTTCACCGAACCGCAGGCGCACTTTTGATGAGGACAGATAAACTCCCATCTCAACAGGACTTTAACTCCTTGATGGAAATGATTCATAAAAGCCACACAGCTACTCTAGTCTTTTTGTTGAAGTCAGTTCTTTATTTTTTTTGTTTTCATTCTTGAGCTGATCATTAACTTTACTTGATAGGCAAATAATTGCAAATCACGATCCACCTGTGAAACTAGATCAACCTGGTATGGCTCAGTCCATAATTGATGAATGCTACAAAAGATACTTTAGTATTGAATCTTTAGAAGCCTCTTCTAAAACGGGCAATTGGACTCTTTACAACTTGCGCCTTCGACTCAGGGACTTTGCTTCCATTGTTGAAGGGGATCAAGCTATGCGATCAGGTGATATAGGCCGCACTATGAGTATGTGGAAGAGAAGGGCCTTGATGGCTCAAGGTATCAAAGGACTTTCACATTATGCCATACATCTGCCAAGGTTTATCTTGATACTTGAAAAGTTTTTACCGCCGAAGATCGCCAAAGCAATAAAACACTCACTTTTGATTCCAACTGGCGGACGTGATGGGCACTGGGTTGCAAAGGACTTTTATCTTGAAATTCAGAACTATTGGCTGAAATATTTCTACAACAACTCGGTGCGTCTTTTTCTCCTTTGATATTCATCATATGATCTCATAGAATTGATGTTAACAGGGTCAAGGGACAAATATTGAGCGATTGATGGAGAGATTCTCTATCCTGATTCCACTTGTGAGTGAAGCATTCCGTGTTGATTGACTCAGATTTGCTTGCTAATTGAAGCTATTGTCTTGAACACAGCTTCGTAATCAGATCCATCAAATGAAAGTGAGATCTGGACTTAAAGACATTTACCAAAACAATTATCACCCAATCACGGATCAGACAATGAGAACCTTTTTACATATGGCTCAGATTCACTTATGTGATCCTGAAATATCTCAGAATTCGAGATCCACCAATGATAACGATGAAGTCGGTGATGTGGAAGAATTAGGGATAGCTAAATTGAAGTCAATCCTAAAAACAGAGGCACGTAAGAAGTTGCCCTCAAGATTCATCTGGGGATCAATGAGCGCAAGAGCCACCAATCCGGATGATCTAGAGCAACTTGATGAATCTGAGATGATTTGATTGTCAAGATATTACATGATAATTACTTATTGAATTGTCTAAGTATCATTTAATAATGTCTAGATAAGATCGATCCCAACTCTGTCTTGTAGCAATATCATTGATTACATGGTGAAGTTGTAATACATAATATCTATTGCTATAAATTCAAAGAATCCGAAACCTTTTTCTGCTTATCAGTGATCTTCTTCTCTTTCGAACTTGCTGCCTCGGCAGCTTTTTCTATTCGTAAAAGCTTTTGGTTTGCAATATCCTTTGCTTTGTTCTCTTTTTCCACAGCTTTCAATCGCAACTCTTCTCGATGTTCTTCTTCGATAATCTGTGTGTCCAGGATCTCTTGATCATTAGAAATCTCTATATCTTCAAGTTCAGATTGATATTTTCTGTAAGAATCGCTTTGAAGCCAAGATTTGATACAGTCAATTATCATCTTGAACATTCCAGGTAAGGTCTGACCACCCAGAATTTCGCGAAGAAAGCTTCCGTTCGATACCGAGACATAGTTTTTAGCGATCTGCCAAGCATCATCGCGATTGAAGAGGGTGTGAGGCAAGATTTTTGGATCTAATGGATAGGTTTTATGGAATAAAGCCTCGAAATGGCCCATGATCGAGACAACGAGGTCGATAATTGGCACATTCAGCCGTATAGGATCGTTAGACTTGCATACAAGCGGGATACTACTCGTAATCTTTCTTTTAGAACTGGTTTTTGGAATATCAAATAGCGAGATGTCCTCAGGATCAGTTGGACTTGAGGACATCAGTTGATCTAGCCTGGTTAAGTTTGTCTGTGGAAGGAGCCGGATGAGTCGAGCTGCTGCCTGAGGATCACAGTTTGAGCATCGACAGGTTGCCATCTTCAGAGACTTCTCGCGCTCAATCTCTTCTAGGTAGCGAGGATCCGTCAAAGACATAGGAATATATCCTTTCCTGTACCATCCAGTATAATCAATTAATACTATTGATTTTTTAGTTGTGAAACATTAGGTAAATATAGCTTACAGATTGTCAAGGGCATATACAACTCTTAAGCAGCATGGAGTGAAACGTAACGCATGCATACGCTCTTCATTATCCATATGGGATGTTACCAAAATCTCTGATGGTGAGTTTTTTCCTTTTGGAATATTGGGCTGAACAAATAATATCACTAATCCGTCACCATCGCCACGACCTGCTCTTCCAGCCATCTGATTCGAATCTGACGGGTCCATAGCACCCATGATGACTACAATCCTAACACAAGGCCAATTCTGACCCAAGCCAAGTGCAGAAGTAGCTGAGATTATGGGATACTTGCCTTCCCCGTACTCTCTTGCACTTTTGAGCTTGTCGTTATCGCTAGTCACAGAGTGATATCGTCGGATACAGTCACTGTTCCCATTGGAGGAATCTGTTGGTTGTCCACAAGCTTTGCAAACAGATTCTATTACATTCATTGTAGCATTCCGAGTTCCAGAGTATATGATCATTGGTGGTAAGTCCTTGTTTGAAACAACGGATTTGTGAGGAATTATGAGATTTAGATCCTCTGCTGAATCGAGTGAATGATTAAGGTATATCCGAATGAAACGTAGCTCAGGCCGTACGAGCTCGCCATGAATCATTGTGATATGTGATTTGGTGATGCTTAAGCTTTCCAAGATTGCAGAGACAGCTTGAGGCCGACACGTTGCAGACATCAGGAGCACTGGAATGTTGTCTGTTGCCATCAGGTGCTGGCCGAGATTTCCATATGACAAACGGAATATGCCGATGTCTTGTGGAGTGACATGAGTAGAGAAGTGTCTCGAGGCTCCACTGACCTGAAGCCCCCAAAGATAAATACAGTGGGCCTCATCGACCACTTTCAAGACCAGATGAGCTTGAAAATCTTTGCTATAGTAAAGAGTCTGAAAGTCTCCATTATTAAGAAATATCTCGGGACTCTTGGAAAAACAAACAGATATATTAGTTATGTTCACAACACAGTTGACTAGATGTTTTGACAGAGCTAACCAGATATATGAACGAGTAAAAGTTCTGCTTCAATTTTACCAATACGTCCTGGGTGAAGGTTGTTTTTGTCAGATTGACTGCAGAAATGCCGGAAAGTTTTTTCTCCAATACCTGAAATGGAGTACAATCTTCAGGCTGACAGTTTGCCAATTTTTATGGTGATATCAAACTAACCTGATTGTCACCAAGCGCATCTAGTGGGTTCAAGACCAAGATGACTTCTTTCTTGGACTTTGGAAACATATGGAAGAATAGTTCAGAAACACGACTCTTTCCAAAGCCAGTAGCAGCAAGCAAGAACGCGTTTAGACCGTTCAAAAGAGGGACTGTTGTGTTCAGCTGGATCTCCTTTGGACTGATCCTTGGGTACATTTCTCTAAACTTCAAATCAGCCATTTTCTTCTGCTCAGAAACCGTCGCGGTAAGTATCTTCTTCAATAAACTGGTCCAAACAAGCTGTAGGCTATTGGTCGATTGACGACTTTCATTTTTGTCTTGTCCTTGTAAAGCATCATGTGGATTACTTTGGGTTTGTCTTCTTGACAACGACATGATTATTGATTAAGAAGAAAAGTCAAGACTGGTAAAGACAGTTTGAGTTCATCGAGGTCATCAAAGTCAAGACCTCGATGATTTTGGTTTTCAAGCTGCATCAATGTCACAGATGACCGTTGAACGGTCATACGCAGTCAGATTTCGAAATTTCAAAAGACGCTCTTTTGAGCTCAATGGAAACTTTTTGATGGGATTAAAAATAAAAAAAAAGTAAAAGAAGAGAAGTTGTGGAAGAAGCTCGAGTCTAACATATATGAACAACAGACAATGTTGTAATCAAATAAAGAAAAGTTTTCAATACAATAAGGTCCTCCCACTAAAAGCTGTAATCAAATAAAGAAAAGTTTTCAATACAATAAGGTCCTCCCACTAAAAGCCCGATGTGCTTGTCACCAAGAAAAGTCACACTACATATAAGTCCCTCGTGCCTCGGCCGCAAACTTTCAAATGAGAGGCACGAGATTTGGACTTAGTTAAGTTAGAATCCAGTGATCTTTGAAAGTAACAAAATGTTTAGCTGAACAAACCACCCAAACATCATCCATCATATTGTTCATGTATTTGATCCCAAAAACGAATTCTGCAATCCAAAGGACTAGAGAAAAGACTCCACACCCAATGTATGGAGAAGCTGAAGATCCAAAATTCATATTAGGGGGTTTCAAGTCAATAAATTTACAGGATTTTACAGTCCAACAAGTTGTCTGATGTTGCAAAATATACCGTAAATTTGAAAAAGTTGGGACACCTAAAAAGGTGTCCTGAATGCTGTTGACCGTATATTTGCAGAAAAAACCTCACCGTAAAATTTAAAAAACTTGTCCGTTTTTTAAAAAAGTTTCACAAAAAAATTCTGACTTGAAACCCCCTATTATGGTCAACACAATGTTTATCTCTGATCTTTAATATTTGACGCATCTGATATTGGAAATGTAAGGGGATTATTTGAAAGGCTGTCTCAACATCAGATTTGACAAGGATTACGTCAACCCTGGGCCAGCAACGCAGCTGTTGCGCGCTGCGTTGCTGGCGCGTTGCGGAAATTGTGGGCCGCACCGCAGCACAAATTCTGCATATCTGTTGCGTTCCGAACTGACGCGTAACAAGATCCCGGAAAACAGGGTTTTTTTTGACCGCAACATTACCTGCTGCGTTACGGCGCACAACCGCAAAGTTGCGGCTGTTGCGGGTCGGGTTTCTCATTCCAGTGATTTCTACGCACTATACCTGATTAGGCGAAGTCTTCTCTTTGTTTCACAATCCGATCGATCTCAATTAGTCTGAATCCACCCATCCTAAACACGACGCACCAGCTATGCATTGGTGCATTCGAGACAGGAGCAAGCCAGGGGCTGACTGGCTTGAAAGTCATAACATGCTCCTTCCAAATCCGAGGGTGAGGTCTCTTTTTCTTTCATCCTCGTTTTCTCTCTTACCTCCTCACTGATATCCTTTCTGTCTTGGTTTGATATTATTCACTTGATAGAAACATCATCATACACTTACAACTTTATCAAACTTCATATTTCCATTTTCTTTCTTTATACTACTCATTGTTTACAATATGTCAGAAACTTCCCAAGCCGAATCCAAAACTCCTTCTAGATCTATCCGATCCAGAAAGCAAGTCATCAATGAGTCCATGGTTTTGACAATGTCCAACTCGCGTCGCTGATTGACTTCAGAGCAACCTTCGGCCTTGAAAACCAAGCGCAAATACCCTAGTTATCATCGCACCGATACTGACGCCGATTCTGATGCCTCAATCACGAGTCTTCACCCTGATGGAAAGAAGAACAAAAAGAATTCAAAGACACCAAGCAATCCCTCTCAATCCAAGTCTCAAACTCGCAAGAAGAAGAAAGTTACATCAGGACTTGAATTGAATGACGATGAGGTAGCTATCAAATTCAACTTCTTTAATCTCTACTTTTAGTATTACCTCATAGTCACTGAAGCGCGGCCCATCTTTCAGCACACCCAGGCCAAGTCTCAACCTTGCAAGAAGAGAAAGGTCCAATCAGACGTGGTACTGGATGAGGGCGGCTCCGAGGTAGGTTTCAAATTGCATTCATCCAATCTTTTTGCCAGACTGTTTACTTACCATAACCACTACGTTTATCAGCATATCTGTTCAAATGTGACCAAAGCCATACTCCGAGCCGACTCTGATGTCGAGATTACTGGGGTAATTCAGAGACCTCGTCGCAAGATAGCCACTCACAGCCCCCAATCACAAGTGACTGGCAGCCCAGTGCATCCCGGCAACCTCAACATGTTTTCAACATGTTTTCAATATGTTTTTAGTATGTTATTAATTGGTTGTTCAAATTACATCACACAGTCTTTGACAGATATATATGAGTCATAGTGAGCTGACAGATTCAATTCCCCATCACAGCCCTCAATTACAAGTCACTGGCAGCCCAGTAAGTCCTGGCAACTTCAACTTGTGTTTCCATTTGTTTTGAATCTATTTTGAATTTGCTGCTCAACTGAAATCATGCAGTATTTGACAAGGTTTCAAATATATCTTGACCAGTTTTCAGATATTTCTTGACTAGTCATGTTGTGATGCTCTTTACTGGGTGGGGAGATCTATGCAAGTTTTTAACTCAATCTCGAAGAGATACGGGATATATATATGAGCTGGTTACCCATTTCAAAACAAGCTGATGAATAAATCTCCCAGTATGAACCCTTTTCAGCCACTGGTATTTCCAGCTCCAAGTGATTGATCATCTAGAGCGGACCCCAATAACAACCAGGGCCAGCTCTAGATGAACAACCCTCTCACAGCCAACAGAGATACCGTGGACTCAAACATCCAAGGTATCTTCAGGTATATATATATATATATATGCTTGGACTGTGGGTCCATGGCAATGTTCCAAGAATTTCTTAGCACCAAAAAAATCCTTGGATCAATTACTCAGACACCTTGTCTGAGGCTATTGCCATACAGGGATACCTCAGGTATACGAAGATTTGAGGAATCTTTGTTGAAGGTGTCTAGAACTGGCCCTGGCTCTGGTTCAATAAAAGCCAGCTCTATATGAGTCATCATCTAGGACTGGCCCCAATAACAGCCAGGGATGTCTTTCAACAATCACTCATTCAGAACTGGTATTGGCTCTCATATTGCTCAGGGCCTGCTGTAGATGGTGCATCAAAGAGAGCTGGCTCCAGCAGGACTCACGGCCTACTCTAGACAATACATCAAGTAGAGCTGGTCCCAATAGCACTCAGAGGCTGCTCTATTTGATGCATCAAATAGAACTGGCCCCGACAGCACTCAAGGCCTGCTCTATCTGTTGCATCAAATAGAGCTGGCCCCGACAACACTCAGGGCCTGCTCTAT